TCTATTTTCCCCCCCGGAATACTCTTATTCTTTCAGTCAGTCTGTCCCAATCACATTCATTTCTCACCTCACATTTTCTCCATAGAAATCTCTCTCATTGCTGCATTCCTTCAGTGGCTTTCCTGCCACTGAAAATATCAGATCTTTAAAGATGACACCATTTATTTGTGGTCTATGCTACGCATCATTGTTCTGAGGCATGTTTATAAACAGAAAGCACTTAGTATTGTTTGGTATATAATAAAACTTTCAAATAAAGGCGTTCTCACTATCATTATTTATATCTTCTTTTCTCCTTCCAAACGTGTATACTGAAATATCTTTAAGGCAAAGACCTGTTCTTTTTATCCTCTACAATATCCAGCTCAGTGCTTTGTACATAATCAAGATAAAGCAGAAACAACCGTTAAGACTTCATTAGAGCGTGGGAGAAGGGAGTTCTGATGGTATAGTCCCATAGAGGGTTGGGTTGCTAATCCAAAGACCACCTTCCTCTGGTGTTTTGTACCACCAGTGGTTCTACAGGAGAAAGAGAGGCAGTCTGCTACCTTGTCATTTACAGCCTCAGAAATTCATTGGAGGATCAGCTGTGAATCAGTTCTGACTCAAAACAATAAGTTGAGTTTAGGACAAGGGATAATCATAGATAAGATAGGAGAGTATACCTTATGTGAAAAATTTCTCTAGTAAAATTGTTAAGAGTTTATCTTCATTAAGAAGAAACAACTGAATTACCACTGAAAGGAAATTGGTTTGCATTAATTCTTTACAGAGACCCAGTCACCCAAGAGGCTTAGAGATAGGCAGTGTATCTCACCTGCCAAAGTGACAAATGTTGACTTGCTAGACGAGCTTGAGCAGAATGAGAGTGGTGGAAGGAATACTACCCATGAACGGTAATACATATTTTTTCTTTTATGTTACACTTTATGTGCATTTGGGGTAAATTTTTCAATGGTGAATTTAAATGATTGTTCATTCTTTCACCCACTATTTTTTTTTTTTTTTTCATGTACCATTGAATTGAATCTGACTGGCCCAGGAGGAGATTGCCCCTCCTTCTCTGGCAGAGCTTCTGGTGGATTTGAACCATAAGCCTTTGGAATTGCAGAGCAGCATCTTGCCACTAGGCCACCAGAGCTCCCCCATCCACTATTTTTTAGTACTTTCTGTACACTAGATGATGAGGATAGTAGACATGACCAGGGCCTACAGTTTAATGGGAGAGCTAGATAGAAGTAATGATTTGTCTTACATAGAAATTTTTGCTCTGTGTGTCTCTCTGTGTTTTTATATCCAGATTACATAGCTGCAAACCTTGCTTTATAATAATTTTAAAAAGCTCTTGTCCTGGATCTCTATGCAGTTCTGGAAATCATAGTCACACCTGCCATAGGCTCAGTTTTTGGTCTCAAACGAAGAAAGTGGAGTTGTTCTTCCCACTGCTGATCAGGGAATTGTGACTGAAAACAAACTCCACACAGTTGGCAGGCTAATGTCAAAAGCACTGTATCCAGTCAGAAAATTCTGTCAACTCTGCCTTCTCTAATTTAGCTACTTCTTATCACCTCTGCTGTCACCAGCCAAGTTATCAAGTTACCATTGCTCTGTCCTCTGAATTGTTGGGATAGTTTCCTTATTCTTCCCACTCCTCTTATTTACCCCTGTTTAGTCTGCTCTCAACATTATAGATAGGATGATCCTGGTAAGATGTGAGTCAGGTGGTCTCATTCTCTACCTAAAACCGTTCAATGAGTTTCCATCTCATTTGTAGTGAAGGCCCAGGTCTTCATCACGGCATGCAAACTCCTGTGTGATTGCTTTCTTCTATTTTTCTCCCTGACTCATCTGTCTGCCGCCAGATAGAATACACATACATGCTGTCACCTCAAGGGCTCAGCATTTCACCACTCTGGCCAGAATAGCTTTGCCATCAAATAGCTATATTTTTATTCTCTTACTTCCTTTAGATTTTTATTCAAATGTCACTTCCTTGTTGAGAACTTTACTGGCATCTCTAATTCAGGAGTTAGTAACCCCATGAAATTTGTCACCATTAAACATATTACAGAGTTCATAAGCACATAGATACCTTGTTATAGGCTACTTTCCCAATGAGAATGTAAATTCCACGAGGACAAGAATTTGTTTTATTATTTTATTATTTTGTGTGTATGTATGTGTACTGTTGAATTGAATCTGACTGGTACAGGAGGAGATTGCCTCTCCTACAGTAGAGCATATGGTGGATTTGAACCACACACCTTTGGGATTAAAGTACAGCCTCTTGCCACTAGGCCACCAGAGGTCCTGAGGATGAGAATTAAAAAAAAATAATAATTTTTTTCTAGGGAGCTCTGGTGGCCTAATGGCAAGAAGCTGCACTGCAATCCCAGAGGTATGTGGTTTGAATCCACCAGATGCTCTGTTGGAGAAGGAGGGGCAGTCTTCTCCTGTACCAGTCAGATCTGGTTTAATGGTTGTTGTTGTTGTTGTTATGTGCCATCGAGTCGCTTGAGACTCATAGCGACCCTATGTACAACAGCCCTAAACTTGGCTCTGTCTTGTGCCAATCGCACTGTCTCTGACACTCCCATCCCGATTACCCCAGTCACTGAATCAATCCACCTCATAGAGGGCCTTCCCCTTCT